CTCTAACACCCTAACAGCATTTTATTAAGATAAACTTTGAATAATTACAATGAGGCCCTTAGTTGGGCAAGAATTTACACAGAACATAACATAGAAAGGATGGGCCCAGAGTAAGGCCCATTACAGACAAGAACATAAACAGTAAGAAAGAATAAAAAGAATAAACAGCCTATGGGCCATTCGGCCCATCTTCTCTACACTCTAAAAGGAAATAGAATATTTCAAAAGCTCAATTGGTTAGAGTGTCATGTTATTAACATAAAGGTTGTTCATCACCATGTACATTCAAGTCCTACATAGGTTATGTCAAAGTTAATTTATCAAAACATGGCAAAAGTCAGGTGCCCCGCAAAATGGGTCTCACTTTTGAGCCTAGGCATGCCTTAACATTGGATTTAGTAAGGTAAATATGGTCACCTTTGGTCCTGAAATGAATTTATCAATCTCTTTCGCTGGCTTGGTGATTGATGTACTACTACTACTACCAGGATAGTATGATGTTGGCAAGAAATGGTTGGATACACATTTACTTATATATTTCCTTTGAGTTATTTGTCAACTTTGGTCTCGTAGAAAAAATTTTCTGTAACCATTTTATCATTTGCTCCTGATCAAGAAAATATAACTAATGATTAGTCTTACATGTTCTTTAAAATAAAAATAAATGCCTAACTTGGTATATCTGTAATTAGAAGAACTGCATAACTGTGTTGTCCATGACCTGTTACAAAACATGTCTAGTGTTTCAGGAACTTCCAAACAGCATCCTCTACTTTCTGTATCATTAAGAATATTAGTTTTTTAGGCTAGAAACAGATGCAAATGTGATAAAATTCCTTACCATGGTAGCTGCTCTTATTTGAATATGTTGTTTATTTACCATGTTTACTTACAGATTTGAATTGCCACCAGAGAGATTGTGGGTTAGTGTTTTCAAAGATGATGATGAAGCTTTCTCTATATGGCATAATGAGGTAAACCACTATTCTTGTCAGTTTATTCTTATGGCCTTCTGCAATTGTCTTTCTTTGCCTAGAGCCTTGCATATGGGTTGTGTTCATATTTCATTTTTTATTCATTTTCAAGTTCATCAGATCAATCACTCTTTCTCATTATTGGAAGTACAATCCTTATTGTCATTTTTCACAATAACATGTTTATTCTTAAGAGGAAAGTCCAATATCTTTTTCTGAAATTAGATTTTGATTCTTAAGTTATATAGGTGGATATCAGCCAAACCACTCAAGATTCAAAACGTGAGTGCTTCCAAATACGTCTGTAAGAACCTTCATCAGCTGATCTTCAGTTCTGACCTGTTATCTATCTCTTCTTAGAAGGGATTTTTATACATAAGCCTTTAGGCTAGGTGAATCATGTCTTAAATGCTTTAGGGCACAAGCATAACATGTCCATTAGACATAAGTTGGACAGATGTATTTTTCAAACCTCCAGATTGGATGCTTGTCTTACAAACATATCACATTACTTCAATAAAAATGCAGAAGTTCAAAAATATGTCAATCTTAAGTTTATGTTTTACTTAAACTCTCAAATCCAGGCAGGATTAATGTAAGTCAACACTAGTGGGTATATGACAAAAAAACCCTAAAATACACAGGAAAAAGAAAGAAAGAAAGATCAACTATATTTTATATCCTTATTTTCTAGAGAAGGCATGCTAAACCTCAAAATTTTGGCAAGAAAAATGCCTTTCTTCTTGTTTGGGCATTTTAAATCATGATACATGGTACTACACCTCTTCAAAAGCAACCTCATCACAAATATAATCTCTTATGCGACTATTGTGCTTGTAAATTTGTGTGTGATGCAGATGGTTGCATTAGTGGCATAACATAAACTTGTAGAAAATTTTGGTTCAACAGTACATTCAACCAAAGCATTTTTTTCTCCAGAAAAAGAAAAGAGAGATGCTCAGAAAGGTGAAATGCAAATTAATTAAAAACTAGTTGTACTGGGCTAATTCAATAAAATCCATTACTGATACCATATTTGGAATTCATAATAAAGTATTCCCCTGTTCTTTTTCTTGTTTCCTCACTGATAATTCTGCGGCTTATTTCCTTTATATGTTTCTACCAGAAACTTTCCTAAATTTTAATTCTAGTTAAGAGCCAGCATGTGCATCTTTATGCCATGTTCTGCTTCCAAAAGTTCTAAATAAATGTTCTCTTTAATAAGAGAAAGAAAACGTGTTTCATTGTCTAATTATTTGCATAATGTGGTTCTTTCATCAGGTAGGAGTTCCTGTGGAGCGTATAAAGCGTATGGGTGAAGATGACAATTTCTGGACTAGTGGTGTTACTGGTCCCTGTGGTCCTTGCTCTGAGATTTATTATGATTTCCTTCCTGAGAGAGGATATTCTGATGTAGTGCGTCTCCCTCTCTCTCTCTCTCTCCATTCACTGTTGTTCCTTGTACTTATTGTGGATTTGGAAAAATGCATTCACAGGATTTGGGAGATGACAGTAGGTTTATAGAGTTCTACAATCTCGTCTTCATGCAGTATAACAAAAAGGAAGATGGGTCCCTTGAGCCCTTAAAGCAGAAGAATATAGATACTGGGCTTGGCCTTGAACGCATGGCTCGCATCCTGCAGAAGGTATCTTTATTTGATATATTAGCTCTTTAAAAGTCCAGTGTTATGAAGATAGTCTGCTTCATCTTAGGTTCTGTGGGGCTGTTTGATGACAGCTGAAGTTACTGAACCGAAAGACTTATTGCTTTGTCTTGTAAAACTTATTCACTAAAAATCAATACGCTTTTCAGTTTAGCTACTTCAGCTGTTATCAAACGACCCCTGTTGCTTAAAAGGGAGATATGATGCTATTCTTCTTGTTGGTTTATTATTTTATACTGTATAAGTCTCTCTCAATAAGAAGTTTTCTGTATGTGTTACTTATTTTGCAGGTTCCAAATAATTATGAGACAGACTTGATTTATCCCATTATAGAGAAGGCTGAAGAGTTGGCACTGGTCTCATATGCTGAAGCTGATGATCGTGTAAAGACCTATCTTAAAGTATGTTGTCATTGAACATTCTGCTATTTATTTAATAATATCTGTAAGCTACTACCTAGTACCTAATGTGATGTAACATATTTGTAAATACTTAATGACACTTTTTAGTGATATCTATTTTTTATTGTTTTCCAGGTAATTGGAGATCATATGCGTGCGGTTGTTTTTCTCATATCGGATGGGGTTGTTCCTTCAAATATTGGGAGAGGTTATGTAGTTCGGCGGCTCATCAGAAGGGTTGTTCGAACAGGCAGGTTACTAGGTATAAACGGTGATGGAAAGGGGAATCCAGAAGGAGCTTTTCTACCAGAGCTTGCAGATAAAGTAATAGAATTAAGCACTGAAATAGACCCAGATATTAAAACCAGAGCACCCCGTATTCTTGAGGAGTTGAAAAGGGAAGAACTGCGGTTTGTGCAGACACTAGAGAGAGGAGAGAAGTTACTTGAGCAGTTACTAACTAGTGCATTACTAAGTGCTTCTGAGAATGGAAGCAAACCTTGTCTGTCTGGAAAAGATGCCTTTCTTTTGTATGACACGTTTGGTTTTCCAGTAGAAATAACTACAGAAGTTGCTGAGGAACGAGGTGTCTGTATAGATATGAATGCTTTTGATATTGAAATGGAGAATCAACGGCGTCAATCTCAGGCTGCTCATAGTGTTGTTAAACTTGCAGTTGAAAATGCATCAGAGCTTACCGAGAGCATTCCAGACACTGAATTTTTAGGATATGACACCCTTTCTGCCAAAGCAACAGTTAAGGGCCTATTGGTGAGTGGGAACTCAGTAACACAGGTTTCTGAGGGAAGTGATGTAGAAATTTTGCTGAATAGGACACCATTTTATGCTGAATCAGGTGGTCAAATAGGAGATCATGGTTTTTTATATGTTTCTGAAGCTGAAAAAGAATGCAAAGCTATTGTGGAGGTCAAAGATGTCCAAAAATCTCTTGGAAACATATTTGTTCACAAGGGTACTATTAAAGAGGGAGCTATAGAAGTTGGAAATGAAGTGGAAGCGATGGTTGATGCAAAACTGCGACAGAGAGCTAAGGTAAAGTTGTCATTGCAATATTTGATCCCTCTCAAAAATTTCTAGGCCTATGGTCCCATCTTTACATCGTCTAAATATCTGACATAAATCTTGGTCTTTATTTTTATTACTGCATATAGATTTGGGGAAACTAAAAACATCCTGAAAATTCTGATTATAATTTATACTGGAATATAGGATGTTAAAGAGACAGGAAGAGATACTTTGGGGGAAAAAGAACTTAAGATTGGTTGAACCACTCATTATCATTTATACACAATTTTAGAGAAAGGTAGAATGTCTAAGCACTACCAATGTTTATATGTCAATATTGGGAATACATTCATATTGACTAACTACAGCCACAACATAGGCTCTATAAGGCATTGTCAAAGACAAGTAGAAAGAAGATCCACCAGAAATTTCTATTTATCTGCCAATAATTCCTCTTTTTGATCTTGTAACTTGTGGTTTGGATCTTTAGGAGTATCAGTGCATTTAGATCCCAATATTTTTTTTTTATCTTTTAACAAATCTAATACATGACTTGTTTACAAAACAAAGATACCTTGCTTGCACTGGGCTATCTAAATGCCAAAAAATATTTCAAGTCTCCTAAGTCCTTAATTTCAAATTCAAAAGCTAGAAAAGTTTTGAGATGTTGAATTTCAAAGTGGCAATTCCCTATCACCATTATATCATTGGCATATACAATAAGAGTTTGTAGTCAACTTCCAATTATGCTTCTAAAATAAAGTATGATCTACATGACTCTAAAGAGTATCTAATCTTAACATCATTCTGGATGTGTTGAACCATGCTCTAGGAGATTGTTTGAGCCCATATATTGGATATTCTTTTTTGACTTACCTCTAAAAGGAAAGGGAACCTAGAGGATATATTGTATTCACTTCCTCATCAAGATTACCATGCATGAATGCATTATTGACATCTAATTTGAAAAATGGCCAAGAACAATTTGCTACAATGGAGAGAAACACCCGTGTGGAGTTCATTTTAGCAATAGGAACAATATTCTAAGTGTGAGTGTGTGCTTTAGTGCAACAGTTGGGTTGCTCCATTGCTACCTAGGTGACCAGGGTCCAAATCTTGGAAACAACCTCTCTGTGTATCTGTAGAGGTAAGGTTGTGTACATCTGTCCCTCTCCCTCCCCAGACCACGTATTGGCAGGTAAGGTTGCACTTGAATCAAGCTCTAATAGTTCAGGCTCAAATTCAGTTAGGCTCGATTCAAATTCGATTCTAATCAAGCTTGAATCAAGTTCAAACCTTGGAGTAAGCCTGATTAGTTATTCGAGCTCAGGCTTGACCAATAAAAAGTTTGGCCTGAAAGCTCGTAAGCTTGGCTCGATTAATACATATATTATAAAAATATGTTTTTGTAAAAATACATACATATTATAGAATATACAAATATAAAAATACATACATACATACATGTATATTATAGAATATAAAAATAGATTTTATAATATATAATAAAAATATATTTTTTATATTCTATACAAGGATCAAAATTTCGATATGATATGCCCTGTATTGGGCGTCTCGTATCGCATCTTTTGGGTCCCAAAACAAAATAGGTGTTTTGGGACCCCTCTTTTTTTAATACAAAAAATATATAAAAATGTAAACAAAAACCAAATTAAAAAAAAACTAAAAAAATATAAAAGTGGATGTTTTTTAGTACCAATACGCCTCTGCCTATACACAGGGGCGTATCGATACTTAGAACCATGATTCTATATAATATAAGAATATACTATATATTATAAAAATATCATATATATATAATATACAAATATATTTATTTTCGAGCTTTTGAGCCAAACTTGAGCTCATGAATATTTAATTGAATCGAGCTCTAGCTGAAAAATATAGTTCGAGTTGAACTCGAGCTTGAACTCGAACTTAGTAGCATTTAGTCAAGCCAAGCCAAGACATGCCAAAGTTTGGCTCAGCTTGGCTCGATTGCACCCTCGTTGGCGGGAGCCTCATGCACTAAGCTGCTCTTTTAACAATATTATAAGTGTAGCCTATCCATTTTTTTTGGGTATACCCCTTTTGTTTTGCCTTAAGTTTTTCTTTTCTTTTCTTTTTTTTGGTAGAACCCTTTGCCTCAAGTTTGGCCTTATAAATTGTATCTCTTAATTGAAGCATCTGTCTTGTTCTTGATAGTGAAAACTTACTTGCATCTCATCTCAGAAGATCTACGAACTCCCAAGTTTGATTATTCAATAAAGCATTCATTTCTTCTACCACAGCTGCCTTGTACTTAATGTTAAAACAAATACAATACTAAAATACTTCCAATCTTTACATTTCAACATCACTATATTTATTCTAATATTGACCATTACTTGACACTTGTTTATATGCTCATTAACATAAAATTTATTCTTAGTGTTGAAATCACAATTATCTCTTATTACAAAATTTTGTTTGGGTTCTGCAGGTTCATCATACTGCTACACATTTGTTACAAGCTGCACTTAAACAAGTAATAGGCCATGAAACATCACAAGCTGGTTCATTGGTGGCTTTTGATCGACTCCGGTTTGATTTCAACTTCCACCGACCACTACCAGATCATGAAATAATAGAAGTTGAAGGGTTGATTAATAAATGGATTGGTGATGCAACAAATCTTCAAACTAAAGTGATGCCTCTTAATGATGCCAAAGAAGCTGGAGCTATTGCAATGTTTGGTGAAAAATATGGAGAACAGGTTTGAACATCTAAGTCAAAATTTCTAGCCTTATATAGTTCTAACCAATCTAATAAGGACACTGGCGTATTGGTGTCCAACAGTGACTGAAGATATCTGACATGGGCATGGCGACCTAAGGAGATATTTATGTTTGTAGAAATGTAGATATACTTCTAAAACATGAATTTAACACTGATTGGACATGGCCATCATTCAGAACCAAGTGTCCTTTCTTAGGTTCTAATGTTGAAGTCAAGACTTGTGAATATTGAATTTATGAGCTTACCTTGGTCAGTTTTTTGTTGAACTTCCAGAAAAACGATGAGGAAAGTTTCCTTTGAATCATGGACCATTTGTAGTTTCTTCTGGATATGTTCTACAAAATGGCATATCTAGAAGGCTAACTTGGGTCTGGGGATATATGGTCCATAGCCATAACTTGCCACCTCTCATGCTGCAAGCATTGGGACACCATCTGATGGGTCTTATTTGTATATCAGCTAGGGAAAAAATCAGCTTATACAGTAGATTATCTCCATCTGATTTTGCTGCATTTAATTGGATTGTGGAGAAAAGTTTCTATTGCAGTTGAAAAGAAGCCCTACATATATTGCTGAAATCAAAGGATTAAATTTCAGTCCCAATGCTTGAAACATAGGCCGGATAAGTTATGAGGACCTCCCACACACACTTAAAGAGTAAAGATGCATGAGGTTACATTTATAGAGAAATCCACTTGCATGTATGAATTTGATTGGATAGAATAAAAAAATGTAGGATTAGCAGAACTAAAAGTCAGCTTTTTTGCTAGTGTGCTTTGTATTGGCCAATCACCAACGGCCTGCTTATAATTGAGGCTTGAAACATCAAAACTAGAAGTGCTAATATGGGTGGAACTTTTCAATGTTCAAATGGTTTTAAGTGTAAAAATGAGCTCATCTTCACCTTTTTAAACTATTTTCAACTTTTAATTAAAACCCTGTACCTCACATCTGATCTGAAAAAAAATCAATTAACAGCCCAAAAGTAATTCAAAATCATTAAATACAATCATATTCTGAACACTATGGAATATGATTTTTTACATACAACAACAAATATTTCCATTTTGATGAAAAAGGATGTTTACATCAAAAACAGAAAGAGTTTTTTAACATCTTTTTTGACCATGATATGTTTTAGGTACGTGTTGTAGAGGTCCCCGGTGTATCAATGGAACTTTGTGGTGGGACCCATGTCAGTAATACTTCAGAAATACGTGGATTCAAAATAGTTTCAGAGCAAGGAATTGCATCAGGGATAAGGCGTATTGAAGCTGTAGCTGGTGATGCTTTCATTGATTATATCAATGTCCGAGATAACTACATGAAACATCTGTGTTCCACTCTCAAAGTATACTTTCTTCCCTCTTTTTTAAGATACTAGCAAGTGTGCATGTGGCAATTCTAGATGATGATAATGATAGTAATAATGTATTCAATTTTTTTTTTATAAAATTCATGTATTTTTTATTCTTTTTGTTTTTCATTATTCATTGGATATAGATTGCAAAATCTGGATCCGATTACCTAAACACCTCATATTGGGCTGCAAAGTTTTGGGTATCATTGATAGGCCTACCTACTTGATTTGACCTTCTTTTTGTAATGTTTTATCTTCTTAGTGTATCTTTTTTTGTTCATCTATAAAAAAAATGTAAGATTTAAAGAGAGGGAATTGAATGAGATGAAAAGTAGTAGTTCAAATTGCATTTTAAACCTCAAAATTAAATAGAGATTAAATACAAAAAATGGGTATTTTATCAAAATAAAGTTCCACAATCTTATTCATATTTTTAATAGTAGTGTAAATATGTAATTATAGACGTGTTCGATTTTTTCTATAATTTTTTTTTATTTCTATGTGTGAAAATAATTCTGTTATGTACACTTATTTATTGTTTAATACGATAAATATATGATATTATACATGTGCCCAAATGGTTTTTTTTTGTAAAATTTATGTATTTTTTCATTTTTGTGTTTTTATACTCTATTAACTTTTATTATTCAATTATGACATTAAAGGTTGACATACTTGACCCAAAAGTTGAACTATTGATCTCTTCCAAACAAGAAAATAATTTCATTTTTTGTTAGTTTTAGATTATATATTTCAAATGATCTTTTGTAAAATTTATGTATTTTTTTCATTTATGTTTTTATATTTTATTAAATTTTATTATTTAACTATGGCATTAAAGGTTGACACACTTGACCCAAAAGTTGAACCATTGATCTCTGCCAAACAGGAAAATATTTTCATTTTTTGGTTAGTTTTAGATTATGTATTTCATTTTCATCATCAATAAAAATGATTCATGTTTATTACACTTATTTTTTAATTTGATTAATAAAAATATCATAAATATGTCTACTTTTTCTAAATTTTTGTAATTTTCTATATTTATTTCTATTTAAAAATTTTATTATCTAACTATGACTTCATGAGTTGACCAATTTTGTTTTAGATGGTTAAATTGCTTAGTTATCACTTAGATAAAGAATGGTTTTGTTTTTTAATTAATTTTAATAGATATGGTTTTATATTGCTAAAAGTATTGGACATAGATCTAATTAGTAGCATTTATTAGTGAAAAAATAACTTAAAACGAAGGATTTAATAAGAGGGAATGGGAGTTAATGCCTTAAATATAAGACTTAATGAGAAGGGATTAAATGAGGTGAAAATCATTAATTGAAATTACATTGTCAACCATCATAATTAGAGATGGACTTAAGCAGACCATTGTCGGTTTAAGTCTTGGCTACCCTCTGAACCATGGTCTGACCTGATACAATCCTTGTAGGGGCGTATCGAGAAGCACTTGGCACGATATGTATCGATACTTTGATCCTTGGTCACACTTAAGGCCTTAAATTCAATGACATCACTTCTAGCTTTTCCCACTAGGATTGGTGGTGGCCACGTTGTATTTTTAAATAGCTACTATATTTTTCCAGATTCTCCACAAAATAGCTATGATATTTCCTTTTTTTTTTTTGTTGTGTTTTTTAACATCCACCTAAGCATGACTGAACTGAATGCTAGTCCCGATTCATGTTTCCAAAAGTGTATGTATGGAAATATATAGTTATACATATTTTTTTTTATGAATGAATGATATTTTATTAAATAGAGATAGAAAAAATACAAGCATGAAGCACCCTAAGAGGATGCACGAGGTGTTACCTTCCCTTAAAGGCGGTTCCAAACCCAACTCTTTTCAGATTACAGTTACAAAATTGCCAAAAACAGAGAATCCCTTAAGCCCCTTGTTTAGTTAAAGAATCTGCCAAAGCATTTGCCGATCTACTAACCCATTGAAAACTAACTGACATGGTTCTCGTAAGCCATTCGACTTTTTTTATGATGTCCCTATATCCCCAAACAACAGTCTTTGGGTCCGACATCCATCCCATTATCACCTTAGAGTCTCCTTCAACTATCAAATTAGTCACTCCAAGTTGGTTGGAAATCTGTAGTCCTTGTACCACAGCTAATATCTCAGCCCTTGTAGAGTCTCCATAACCCACTGGACCTGAGAATAAGGACAGAAAGTTGCCATCCTTATTCCTCAAGATCCCTCCTATACCCGAAGGTCCTGGATTGCCTTGACTGCTCCCATCAAAGTTCAACTTTACAACTCCTTCCAGAGGGGGTAACTGACTTGTTGGTGTAATTTTTTTTCTTGGATGAGGTGGAGGCCACTGTTGCCCAACTCCTTCAAAGGTCATCACTAGAGTAATCCGCAAAAAGATCAGTAGTTTTTAGCCAAAGGATTGCCCTTATCAGTATACAATCCTTTATTTCAGCAATGCTTCTCTCCTTCTCTTGCAAAATTCTAGCATTTCTTTCCTCCTAAATGGTTCATAAGAGGGCTGCCCTAATACATTTCCACATTATTTTCCCTCTCTTTGTTGGCCAACCAAAAAAAGATGGATCAAAAAGCATATTTACTTCAGGAGGCAGGTTCCACCTGTACCCGAACAGCATAAAAACCCAATTCTAAATATTTACTATAAAAGAGCAAGAAATCAGTAGGTGATAACAGTCCTCATTCTGTACTTTACATAAAATGCACCAATTGGGGGACAAGCATGAATAAGGTATCTTTTTTTGTACATTGTCCACAGTATTAATTTTACCACAATGCACTTCCCAACAAAAACCAGCAATTTTAGGTGGAATTGGCCTTGACCATACTAATTTAACTGGGAACAACAAAGGGGAAGGAGTAAAGCATAGGGACTTAAAGAAGGAAGAACAAGAGAAGGAGCCACTCGAGGTCAAAGACCAAATTCTTCTATCTAGTTTAGGAGGTTCCAAACAAACAAAATCAAGTAAAAGTAAAAGCTCAAAGGTAGAAACCGATTCCTCATCCCTAAACCCTCTACGGAACCCAAAATCCCAATTAAGAGACAATGGGAGAATGGGGGGAGACAAAAACCTCGAAATAGGCTCCTTTTTTATAGAGGGAAATAGAAAAAAGAGAGGGATAGAGGTCTTTTAATGGTTGGTTGCCCACCCAAACATCTTCCCAAAAAAGCACAAAACTATCACTTTGGACATCATACCTTACGAACTTGAGAAATTTTGTGAGGATGCCAAAAATCGCCTTCCAAGGTGTAGTGAGTGTGGCTCGCCAAGATACCCCGGCATCCTAACTAGATTCAGAACAGCCATGAATACTAGCCACCACCTCATGCCACAATCTTTCTCTTTCCAGAGGCCACCTCCATAACCACTTGCCCAAAAGAGCTTCATTCTTATTTACTAGGTTCCCTAACCCTAAGCCCCCTTGTTCCTTGCTTCGACTCACCACCTCCCATCTAATCAAATGGTCCTTTTTCTCTACACCTGGCTCCCACAAAAAATCCCTCATCAACTTTTCTATCTTTATTGGCTTCCCTAACAAGTATCCTAAAAACAGACAAAAAGTAGATGGGTAAGTTTGCAAGTGTGGCCCTAGTCAAAGTTATTCTACCCCCTAGAGAGATAAAGTTCTTTTTCCAGGTCACTAGCCTTTTTTTAAACTTCTCTACCACTGGGTTCCAAATCCTACTTTCCTTTGGATTTTCACCTAGGGAAGTCCTAAACAGGTCAAGGGCCAAGCAGAAATAGGGCATTCTAAGTAGGCAGTAATAGACTCCAACTCCCTTCCCTCCACATTTAGCCCCACTACACAACTCTTCTCAAGATTTATTTTCAGGTTTGAGACACTCTCAAAGAGGGATATTAGATTTCTTAGATTCCTTGTCCTCAACAAATCACATCCCTCACAAAAGATTATGATATCATCTGTAAGCTGAAGGTGGGTAACTGAAACTTGATTTCTTCCTAATCTCCATCCTCTTATCAATCTAACCCTGTTTGCTTTTCACAAAAGTCTACTAAAAACATCAACAACCAATGTGGAAAGGAAAGGAGACAATGGATCACCTTGTCTCAATCCCCTACATGTTGGGAAAGAATCCTTTACTACTCCATTTACTAAAATTGAGTAATGGCATGATGTTAGACAACCACCTATCCACTTGCACCATCTATCCCCAAAACCACACTTTCTGAGCACCTCTAGTAGAAAACTCCAATCCACTAAATCATAGGCTTTTTCAAGATCCAATTTGCAAACAAAACCTTGCCTACCCAATCTTCTCATCTCTTCCACACTTTCATTTGCTATTAAAATTTGGTCAACTATTTGTCTACTATGAACAAAAGCACCTTGAGCTTGACTTATGATGGGGGGAAGAGCCTTTTTGATCCTCAAAGATAAGACCTTTGCCAGTATTTTATAGCTACTTGTTAGGGACCAGGGCTAGGAAAGTGGCATTTACTCCACGACTAATGACAAGTTGTTCCTCAAACTCTTTGAAAACTTCTAACAAGTTTCCTTTAATTATGTTCCAACAGTCTTGAAAGAAAGCCATAGTAAAACCATCTGGCCCTGGTGCTTTAGATCTATCCATTGAAAAAACTGCTTATTGGATTTCCTCCTCCTCAAAACTCCTTTCCAACCACAATTTCATCTCTTTAGACAGTGTAGGCCAATCCAAACCAGCCAACTCCACTCGACTAGCTAGAGGTTTCCTTAAGATAGATTCGAAGTGTGCTAAAAAACAATTGGCTATTTCCTCTTGAGAGTCCAATTCCATTGGCCATCTCATGAAAAAATTTGGTATTCCTGTCACCTTCTTTTATCCATTTATGCCTAGATTTCTGCCTCCAAGAGATCTTTTCTCGCAAAAGAACCTCCTCTAATTCCTTTTTTCAACCTCCACCTTAATTCTCTTTCCTGAGTATTCATGGTTTGTTGAGATTCCTTCTCATCTAGGTCCTCTATTTGGGTC